TTGGGGCGCGCTGGCAGGCGCGACGCGCCAACCCCCTCGCCCAGATACTCGACTTTTCTCCCTTATTTTGCCAACTCTAAAACACCCTTACTTCAAGGGCTTCAACCCCAAACACTAAGGATCATCATATCCCTCAACATACCATGGATTACAACTCAAAACACAACCGGAAACAAGTCCCAAATCAACAAGAATCTCAACAACGACAACTAACAACTTCAACAACTTCAACAACAAATCCAATCTCTTTTCAAATAAAAAAAAATGAGCTTGGTGTGTGGGGGAAAGTATCAACCCACACAAAGAACTCACATACCTTGATAGGGATCACCCCCGACGATTTCCACAACGATCTTCGACGGAAACTCCTTGATCTCCTCTTCTTCTTCTCTTCTTTCTCTCTTCTTCTCCTCTTCTTCACTCCAGAACCCTAACTCTTTACTCTTTTAAAATGGAACAAAAATTATCCACAATAAGTCTAACACAACATTATAACCTCAAAAGAAATGATTTGTGAAAAGACCAAAATGCCCTTAAATTTCCGGACGGATTCCCTGCCAATTGCCCAATTTTCAAAGGGCATAACTCACTCATACGAGCTCGGAATCGAGAAAATTCGGTGGCGTTGGAAAGACCATTCCATGAGCTATGCAACCATAACTGGAACTACACCTAACTCATCCTGAGCCAGGAGTTATGTCTGTTCAAATTTGGCCAAAAACTCACCTTTTCCATACTTGGAGCCAAATTTCCAGATTTTTAAATCTTTCCAAAATATAACCTCAAAAGAAATGATTTGTGAAAAGACCAAAATGCCCTTAAATTTCCGGACGGATTCCCTGCCAATTGCCCAATTTTCAAAGGGCATAACTCACTCATACGAGCTCGGAATCGAGAAAATTCGGTGGCGTTGGAAAGACCATTCCATGAGCTATGCAACCATAACTGGAACTACACCTAACTCATCCTGAGCCAGGAGTTATGTCTGTTCAAATTTGGCCAAAAACTCACCTTTTCCATACTTGGCCAAAATTTTCCAAAATTTTCAAATTCTAAGCCTCTTCTTAGTTATCTCATTTTGCCGGATGTTACAGGATCAATGGTCGTCAGTTTGAGGGTGAGGCCTTGATTTTTTTCTGAGATCGGGTTTTGCAAGGTGATGTTGGGAAGGCTACCTTGGATTCTGACAGGGTTTTGAGGTTTGAAGACCGTATTTGTGTTATGAGAGTTGGTGATATATATTCTTCAACTGATCCTTCGTGAGGCCCATGATTCCAAATATTCTATCCATTCAAGCACCGTGAAGGTGTATTGCGATTTGAGGCAGCATTACTAGTAGGTTATAGTATGTGCAATCACGACTCGAGTTTTCGGGTCGTGACACAATATAATCAAATTTACATTTGAAAAACATAATAACATGATTATATGTACTTATTACTATAAATATAACCAATAATGTAGATTTCTAAAATCTTTTCCTCTTTGATTATTTAATCATATTTAAAGTTTTGAACAAAAGTAATAGTTATATAATTTTTGTATGAATTATGATATGAATTCTTCCATATTCATTGCTCTAATGAATTATTTTGAAAGGTTTTCAGAAGGTTGCAAATTTGAAATAATTTCAAAAACAACTCTAGCAAATGTAATAAGATAAACAATTTCATCATGTGCCCACCTAAGGCTCCTTACTTGGTTTATAACATTGTGGATGCTGTGAAGACTAAGGCTTAGGATATGTCCCATGGGTCCGTGTTGTCGTCTACTGATCATCAAGCATGTGATCATAGCTGAATAGGGAGGATGTTTGGGATGGTTGAGGTTCAATTGTGCATTGGTGGTCTCACAGCTACCGGTGGGAGGTGAATTCTTTGGCAGAGAACTACCCATTGACGGAAAGTGCATTGAACATGTGTAGGATAGGCCCGCATTTCAAAAGCTTGTGGATAATGATGAGGCTACTATTAATGATGATAGTGATGAAGATGATGATGAGGAGGTTGATGATGCTGATACAATGCTCACGTTGGTAGATAGTCCAACTGATGCGACGAATGAGAATGCTGCTGATGATGGTGAGGGAGCCTAGATGCCTGAGGGAGTTCTTTCTTTTACTCGATACTTATGTTCTGATTTTGTTGCACTAGGGACAATGATTTGTCTAAGTTTGATGGATTTCCCTAGTAGTTGTTTATTAATTTGTGGAATCTTTTTCTATTTTTAGGTTGGGCTCCTCATTTTTTGTTTTCGATTTCTTTTCTTGAGGACCTCGAATAGACTAGGTTTATGTTTTGTGTTGTGTTTTGATTAGTCAAAGTTTGCATAGAACTAACTATTCCAGATGATGAATGGATGACGACCATTTTAAGAGAAAATTAGTCATTAAGTGTTAGGTCCAGAAACTTGACCTTTGGTGCTTTGAAACCTTGCTTAGAAGTCAACCAGACGGCATGGGTAGGTCATTCTTGAGCATGCTAATTAATGAAGTTACTCCATGAGAAACACATAGGCTCTTTGATTGGACTCTGAAAAGATAAAAACAAATTAAGATTAATTTTGTCGAAATGCACTCAATGTGTCATGTGTGAGCATGCTATTTGTGTAATCTTGCATGTATGTCATGGTTCCATGTTTGGTGAGGATTGCTTTGTTCGTGTATAAAACTTCATCTAGAACTTGCATGATGTGTGTGTGTGACATATAGACTTGCATGAATTTTGGAATATTATCTAGGCATTTCTTTGCATAGCTCATTTGATTCTAGTGTGTGCCTCCATGATATTGTCCCTAGTGAAGCTCCTTTGAGCCTTTTAGCCAATAATTCTTTGATAAGCCGCATGATGATCCAAATACATTTTGTTGGTACCCTTTCTTAGTTAATGCACTATGTAGTGAAGGATGGGTTCACCAAAAGATAGAGTGATGCAAAAGAGAAAGTGTGAGTGTGGTAAAAGAAAACTGGGGTGAAAAGAACCCAGAATTAAAGTACATAAGTGCTTGTTGCATAGAAAAAAAGAAGCTAAAGAAATAAAAGGATATGCTAGCAAGTGGTTGATTGTCTAAAGGGCGGAAACCAAAAGATAATCAAGGATGGTCAAGAGGTGTGAGCATAAGAAGTGAAGTAAGGTTAAAAAAGGAAATATGGTGAAGTGTCGAGTGGTAAAACAACTGCATTAAGGAGGAAAGTCACCAATTATATCCACAACGTATCCTCCCCATCACGAAACCGATATTACAATTGAATAAAGCTTTTTTTTATTCCATGAATGAATGCATAATCAAGGTCATCACACACAAAGGGAAAGCCTATGACATGTTGTGATATGTGAAAACATCTTTTGTGATAGTGAGAGCTTGAATTGTGAAAATTGGCCCTTTGAAAATTGAAAGCATGTGAATATAAGCTATGTTGAGAGAAGGGTTGTACAAAAATAGTGAGGGCACTCATGACATGCTAGAGAATATTGTTGGTTGCTTGTTCATACCTGATTGCATTGACTGGTAGAATTGTAAGGAGTCTACCGAGGAGGTTACGTTGTGTCTTGTGGAGTATTGTGGTGCTAAAAAAATGTGTATTTTATTGCATGAGGTGTGAACTACAAAAACATGATTAAAAATTATCTGGTTGGTTCAAATGCATGTGGATGAGTCCGTAGGTGTGAATGGTGAATCGATAACGGATGGTATAGAGAGTTGTTCGAGGATGAACAAAGGTTTAAGTGTGGGGTGGTGATCTTGGTCGTATTTATATGCTTATTTACTATGATTTTCCCACATGTGCCTTATGTTTTAAGAGTATTCTTTATGCTATTTTCTATGTTCTGATTGATATTGCAATGATTGCACACTAAGACATGTGATTAGCTAATGCAGGAGTTTTTGAAGGGACATTGAGCAGATGAGAGATTGAACAAAGGAAGAACCCTTTATGCTTTTTTACATGAAAACAATTATATTTATGCTTTTTTATTAGCATGAGTAGCTAAGAACCCTTATTTTGTGGCAGCGACTACGAATGACTGTTGAAAATTGATTTTGTTTGGATCAAGTTAGTTATCGTATAAATTATGCTTGGCCTCCAATAAAATAAATACATTGTTTACTTTTAAACTTGAGAGAGGAATAGAGAGATAGAATGTGGAATACAAGGAACATGTTATTTTCTTGCATATCATTTGAATTGATTTGTGTTTAGGATAGAGATATACATAAGCATTGTGTTTGGTTATGAAACAAGAAGATAAATTCAATTCTCACTAGTTGATTCAATCTATCCCTACTCAACAATATAGTTAGATTGTCAACTAGGGTAGATGATTAGAGGTCGAGAGATCATGATCATAATATTAACCTTGTAATAAGTAATTTGATAACCATATGAAATCTGCGAAAGATAGGTGAATCATGAATTCTTAGTTAAGTTGCAGCCCTGGAATGGTCTCAATTATTGTTTACACACCGAAATTGAAGTTGAGCATGTTTGTTACTTTTGATTCTTAAATACTTGCAATCGTAGTTATAAATACCAAAGTCAAATACTTGAGATACACTTGCTTTACTTTGTGCGGTTTAGTTGAATTATATATAAATTAATCATAATTCATTTGGGTTCGACAATCTGGCTCTTGTAGAGCCACCATATTATTTGTGCGACCACGTACATTTGTATGTGCATTTGGGAGCAACAACTACCCCTTTGATCAGTTTAAAGTCTTGACCGGGAGGTTCTATTTTTAGTCCGAACACACCTTTCCCTTTGATCAATTTAAAGTCTTTACTAGGTGATTATGTTGGGTCCTTGGGTGCCTTTACCGCAGTTAAAGTCCGTGGAAGGCTGTGATAGTCCTGGAAACATCCTCAAGTTTTCTTACTAGTTCTTAAATCTTCTGTGTGCATGCCGGGCATGTGGGTGTCCATTCTTACCTCAATCATATCGTTCCAGTCTACAACCAAGTGCAACTAATTCCAACCTACAGCTACGACTAGACACTAAAGTCTCAAACATTAACACAGTACGAAACAAGCCCTACAGGGAGAAAAACACAACTACAAGGGTAATATAGCACATTCTAAGGCATCTAAGGCTCAATCCTAGACTAAGTCCTCAAGTATTAATCCTAACAAGGATAATCATGCTAAATTATACTATAAGAAAGTTTACTAGCCTAAACTAAGGGTTCTGTCACCCACATTAAGCACAACACTTCTACGCAAATCAAGAAAGATAAATAAATGGAAGGGTTTATAATACTCGACAAATACAATCCATTCATACTAAACATTATCTACTAAAGCCCAATCAAGAAAGTAGACATTAGCCTACCTCGAATCAAAACTACAATCTTGAACCATCCATGAGCCACCCGTCTCTTCACCACGTTCTCCATATTCCTCAAAACTATTGATAACATCAACTACACATTGCATCGAGAAGAACGATACCCAATCACTATAATATAAGCCGACCCCAAAATTAGGTCAAAATAGTCTCATGGGACCTATTAATAAAATTCTAAAATTGAACCTGTCACTAGGCCCATACAAGCACAAGGAACTTGTGATCTAAATTTGAGCACCATTGGATCTCGAGAACCCATCCAAATTAACCAACAAAAATTAGAATTCAAGAACCACAATTAAAAGAGAGAAAAGAGGTTTCAAGGTGATAAATCACCATAAAATGAGTCCACAACTCTCCCCCAATGACCCTACTCGAAGCCCCATCAAAAACCAACAAATAGCAACTAAAATCGGCTCAAACAGAGCTTTATAACTCAAGTTATCGCGTTTTAAATGTTGAACAAACGAACTGAAAAGTTGGGCTTTAAACAGCCCCTAGGTGCCGCTAAAATGGTCATTTGGCTACTTAAGCGGCTGGTCAAAGTTGGTCAAATATCGCTAAAGTGGTCTGAAGGCTGCTTTAAGCGGATGCACCAACACCATCATAGGCTAAAATTTGGTTTTCATGCTCCAGACTCATCCGGAGTCCCGTGAACACAAACGATATATGAAATCTGATTGTAAACATTATTTTAGACTCCATGGAATCAAAAAAACATCATTTAGAGGTCATCTACAAAAAATGTTGACTGAAGTCAACACATTAACTATAATAAAGAAAGCAACAGGATGCCCAAAATCAAAATAAAGTCCTCGAGATCCAAATCAAAGGTCCTATATTAGGCACCAAATTCAATATTCTGGAGCTAATGGCGCAGATGGAATTCTCATACTACAACTAAATATCTAAATGTTGACTGAAGTCAACTCTAGGCTAAACTTTCCAACATCTCACCTACATGCTCAAACTCACACTAGGAGCCTCTAGACATGAACCAAATATCCTTGTCTACCTGAATTTTTGATGAATTGAACCATCCAAGTTTCAAAAGCTCCAAAATATGAAAACTCACAATATCCAAATGAACAACCCGATAACTGAACTATCAGTCTCAGCAAGCCATACATGAATTGTGATCGCTACGGGAAACTCTAAACACTGAAATGATTAGGAAACAGAGAAAATGACCTGGAGAGTCATTACAATTATGAAACTATATTTGTGTAGCAACCATCCAAACAAGTAAATTGAGTGTGCTTGAAAATAAAATAAAAATACTAGGAAGCGCTATCTTTGATCTTATATGATGTGGATTTAGATTAAACGAATAAAACTTTTATTTTTTCTTTCTCGGAGTTTTTTCTTGATAAGCATAGTGGGAAGAAGTGTTTTATGATAGCACTAAGAGAGCTTATAATTTCAGAGAGTGATTGTAACCGCCCAGAAAGTTTTTGAGCTAAGACTCGAACCGTTCTTCGTAGTGAGTGAGCTTTTTGCAAGGAATTTAAAATTTCTTGAGTATTAAGGTCACTAGATGTAGCACCTTGAGTTCCAATAAGAACTAAAGAGAGTTCATTCAAGTCATTCCTAAGTTTTTCTTAAGTTTTGGCTCAACTTCAGACAATCATAACTCCTAGTACAAGATAAGTTAGGTGAGCTACAAGATATAAAATTAAAGCTCTTCGAGTTCTCTTTCCAACGCTACCGAGTTTTCTAAATTCCGAGCTCTGAGTAAAATGTTATGACTGATTTACTAACGACGCACAAACCTGGCAGTAGCTCCGCGATGGCTCTGGGTTACGGAGCCAATACGGACCTCACTGCCTGGTGAAAAATTATTCCGACTCCCAACTCGTTTTAATTATTTATTTAAGGATATTTTAGTCCTAAAAACCCGTAGGAGGTCATCTAAATTGCCCTAAACGTATAGAAAACCAGTTTTTCATAAATCAAACCCTCTCATCCACTCCAACAATTCTACGCTCAAGGGATTCAAGAAACGCTAAGGCTAGAGTTCATCTTCCCAGATTTTCCTTCAAGTTCTTCAAGAAGATGATTCTTTCAGGTATGTAAGCTTCCATAGTGTTGGGTTTGTTCAGCCACACGCCAATCATGTTAATATCAGCTTTAAATTAGTTCTAAAAGTTGAAGCTTTGATGTTCTTGATATGTATTCTTGAATTTGCTTTCGTTCTTGAATTGGACTGAGATTGAGGAGTTCTTGAGATTATTGTGTCGATTTATAGGGTTGTTAGAGTTAGATTCTAGTGTACATGTGCTGGGTATCTGAATCTAAAGAGAGGTTGAGCAAAAGAATCGAGTTTAGGTGAATTGGGGTTAGAAAATGAAGAAGGAAAAAGTCAGGCGAATCTGGCACCTTACTCCGCGTCGCGGACCTGCCTCCCCATTTCATAAAGTTTGTCTTCGCGTCGCAGAGACGTCACGGACCTCTCTGCCTCAAAAATTAATTCACGACCAAATACCGTAATTCATCTCCCCGTCGCGGACTTGCTTCCAAACAATGATTTCTTGATTGTTTTTCATGTTTAACTATCTAAAAACACTCCTAAACATCACGAGATCATTCCTATCACAAATCACAACCTTGAATTCATAAATCACATTCAAGGTAGAGTTGAGAGTCAAGTCTTGAGAGTTCTTTCGGACATTTTGAGAAAGTCCCTTTAAGTCTTTTTTAGGAGTCTTTTACAACTTCTAGTAACTTGTTTCAAGACTCGAGCAAGTGAGTATGAGGATGAGGAGAATGTATTCACGAGTGTACTTTGTCATTATGAGAAATTTCGTATCATGAACCATAACTCTTGAATTCATAATTCACATTCAAGAGAGACTTAAGAGTAGAGTTCAAGAAAGTCTTTGAGTTCAATTGTGAATCCTTTGAGATCCACCATCGATTTGAATTAAGTTTTGAGAAGTAAGTATGAGAATGAGAAGAGTCGTATACCTGAGTTCCTCATTGATATTTTGACCCTTAAGTCAAGTCGTTCATGCCCATAACTTCCGCATGAACTCCATCAGTTTAGTATCTTTGAAAGGAATAATATCTTCAAGTTCTAAGTCTTGAGTATCGAGTTCCTAACCCTTCCGAGATTATAATCCTAATCATGGGACTATTACCTATTACCCATGAAGTCCATGAGTTGAGTTGTTCATGCCCATAATTCTGCATGAACATTATAAGTCGAACAATCTTGAGATGAGAAGTATCTTTGAGTCCTTGAGTTGAGTAGTTTATGCTCATAATTCCGCATGAACCCTCTGAGTTGAGAATTCTTGAATTAGTAGTATCATTGAAGTTCTTGTAGTTCCAAGTTATTTGAGTCTATCTATGGTTATTGAAACCTTGCATTGAGTCGTTCAAGTCCATAATTCGGCGTTAACCATATTTTTTAAGAAGTCTTTTACAAATGTTTAAACTTTGTTTTAAGACTTAAGCTTTGAAGTTGAGTAAAGAGTAAGAGTAAAGTTCATTTTCTTTAAAATGATATATGGGAACTAAGTATTCCCAAGAGTAAATGTGTTCATATTTAAGATGAGAGGAAACTGAAATTTCCAAAAGAGTTTTGAGCAAGAAAGGGAACATCGATTCCAAGAGAGATTTTAAGTTAAGTCTTGAGTGATTATCTCAAACCAAAGAAAGAAATTGTTTTAAAACATATGAGCTAATATATTTTTTTGGGAGTAGTATTGAGCACCAATATGGGGATGTG